GCAATAATAACCATACAAAATGAAAACTTTTCAGTATCTCGCATTAGGATGAAAAATATCCAGTTACCAGGGCAAAGAAAGACTGATAACTGCTTCTTTCTGAACGCACAAATCAGGTTTTAGGTGCTTGATGGAAAAGGCTTCAGCAAACTTAAGGAGCATTGAACTCTTTTGCTTATTGATAATTTTGAACGACTTTTCGACGTCCACCTCATGACCCGTGTCAAGAAGATGCCTGGCGATGGCACTGCTTAAAGCATTTGTTCCTTTTATACGTAAGCTTTTTGGTACATGTTCAGAAAATCGTAGATATGCTCTTCTTTCTGTTCTTCCAATGTAACTGCTCCCGCAGATACATGTAAATTTGTATATACAGTTGGAGTTAACATGAGAAGGATATCTATCGATTTTTGATTGCACCAGAGAGCAAGTTGTTCGAAAGACGGGAACGAGCTTAGCTGCAGGATAGGCTATGGCTAGTGATGTACTCAGCCTTCTGTTGATCATCGCTGCAATGTTTTCGCCTTTATAATCAAGCTCAAAGTAGATTGGCTTTTTTCTTACTGTGATTTGTTTTTCATTTGCGACTGCAGATCTTCCATACTTGTTTATGAACCTTTGAGGGTACCCATTGCTCTTCAATGTCTTTTCAAGAAACTCAAATTCTTCCTCTAGTTTCTCTGTAGAGCATATTCTTCTCGCTCTATAGTACAGAGTCTTGACCAGTGCTCGTTTATAGCTATTTGGACAAAAGCTATTAAAATGTAAGTATTGTCCTTTCCATGTGGACTTTCGATAAATTGACTTTTGAAGACTACCGTCTTCTAGGCGTTCCATGGCGATGTCGAGGAAGTGGAACTTCCCGTCACTTTCATGTTCCATAGTGAACTTGATATTGGCGTGCGCATCAATGAATAATCTTAGTAGGTGTGAAGCATGACTATCATTTTTGCACACTATAAATGTGTCATCAACGTAACGACAGTAGGAAGTTGTTTCATCGATTGCATGCTTCAACTTTGTTCTTTCAAGGTTGGACATGAATATATCTGCTAAAACAGCGCTAAGTGGACTGCCCATAGCTACACCATCTATTTGGCGATAAAGAGTGTTGCCGAATTGGAATTGCACATCCATGGTGCACATTAGCAGTAGGCGTTTGAATTCTGACTGTGGCAGTGGGAGAAGATCAGACTGCTAACAACTGATCTCAATAGTTTCGTTGACTGGAATCATTGTGAACAAGGAGGTTACATCAAATGACACCATGAACTTATCTAAAACGTTCATGTGGTTCACACTTTCAGAGAAATGAAATGAGTCTTTCATTGTGTGCACGCCTAGCCGTTGACGAATAGGTTCCAACTTCTCCACAAGCCAACGTACCACCTTATGTTGGGGCGAGTTGATCATTGAAACTATAGGTCTCAGGGGAACTTGTTCTTTGTGTATTTTCGGAAGGCCATACATGTGTGGCAAGCGGGACCCTCGGGGTTTCAGATCATTGTACGTAGTGTTATCAATCAATTTCTTCTTTAGAAGATCTCTCAGCGCGTTTGTGATACGTTTTTCGACGGCATCTGTCTTATCTTTTTGGCAATTGTCAACTTTAAACCTCAGCGGGTCATTTAACACAGCTTTCATCTTCGCAATGTAATCCTCTTTGTCCACTAGCACCACTCCTGAGCCTTTGTCAGGTCGCAATATGACAATTTTTTCATTATTCTTGAGACCTTTCAATGCTCTTAGATGCTCTTCAGAAATGACTTTTGAATATGACATTGGAGAAATGAGGTAGTGATTTGCAACGTCGATGAGCTTAGATTTGAACCAGCTCTTCTTGTCATCATCAACTGGAGTGAGGTCACTGAGCTGATAGAATAAGTTTTCAAATTGAACTGCCGCATCAGTTCTTCCGACAAATTTATTTGGGATGTGAAAGTGTGTATGTGTATACTGATCGATTGATTTCTGCCTAAAATGAACTCTGTGCAAGATACATTTAGATACATTTAATAATGTTTTTGCCCTGTAAGCAGCTGAAGAGAAGGCGACGAAATAAAATATGGTGCCATTTTATTCTGCTAAATCTGTAGTTGTTGCTTTGTTGTTCAAATTCATTAAGGAGAACAAATGTATGAAAGATAATATTACAAATTCATGAATTTAAAGTCTCCACTGAAAGCCGGCCAGGGCAGTAACAGTGGCTGGATTTCCTTCTTTTGCACACGAAGCACTAGTTGTTTCACGCGAATTGTAATAGCTCATGCTGTTTGCAGTATGCGGTACCTGGATGTTTTTGGCAATTTATTTGTCACCCGATAGATGATGAAGAAGGATCCTTCTACGCCGACTGGCTTTGTGGCCAGTTCCTTTGGACCAGGCGGTCTAATAGAGAACTGTTGATGGTTTTCACTACGCCTTTGCTTAGCCATGCTGGGATATGCTCCCGAGTGAGCACGAAAAATCAAGTTCCTGGAGCAACGGCCAATATAACTAGCTCCATCACAAGCGCAGCTGAATTGGCAGATACAATTAGAAATAGCTAGTCTAGATACTTCTTCTTTCAGTCGGGGAATCACCACTACGGATATTAACATCCATCACCTTTGTGATCCATAACCACTCTATTGGGATATTTAGTAGATTACTGTTAACGTTTACAAGGTTGAACCCAGATGAAAAGAACCATGCACATAAGCACTAATCGACATAATAAGCAGTAAATGAAGTTTGAGATAAATTCTGTCTATCTAAGCCTTCCTCTTTTTACCTTCCTGTAACTAGTCTGACAGTTGTTTTGTATTTGATTGAATGGGCTAACTCTACATTATAGAAACTTTTTTATTCATTTTGTTTACCAGTGGAACATAGGGCTTCAAGCTACAGGCTTGAATTTTCGGTAGGAGTGTGTTATAACTGATACTAAGCTGAATGAAGACCATAGTCACTTTGTTCTGTCTGCGACCGCCTAATATGCCTATCTGCCCGTTGTGCCTTCCGTCCGATTCACTGAGCCACGCAAATATCAGAAGACGAAGGCTGGCCTGTAACTGTATATTGTAATCAACCACAACAACTATTAGGAAAACAACACATGGTATTTATACATTTTCTTTACAACAATAAAGTCGGCCTCACAGCCATGAGAAATGATTGATCGCATAATTAATCACAGCATGCGTGAGAGATGATGACATACTACTTTATGCGGGATCCTATCACCTCCCCCGTAAAAAGCGTAGGGCTGTCTTTTGGATCGATCTGTTTGGAGAAGTTTTGATTTTTTTCTCCGCTCAAAAATAATTGTTGCTGGAGATAATTTATTGGAGGCAGAAGTACTGGTTGCCGTTTGATAAGGCAGCGAATATCTGTCCAAGATTTCTCTCACTGCTCCCTTCTCCCCTTCACACAACTTTGGAACTTTCATATTATAATCTTCTTTATTTCTTCCTATTCATCGTCGTAGGGGTAGTAGCATTTTACAGATGTCAGGGTGGACAAGCGGGGAATCATTCCTATTACACGTATTTGCAGTTGATTCAATTAACAAACCTTCGGTTATCAATGTATCCCTCTACCCTGCTGTTACATTAGATTTTAAAACTGTCATCTTATCCCATCTTATATAATGGTTGCTGGTAATTGCATGCAATGAGTGCTGTAGCTGAACTATTCTCCGGATTTCTTATCTCATTCGGAGAAATCAATCTAGATTTTGCTAGGATTTTGTGCTCTGCCAGTCTGACTGACCATGTTCTACTGCTTTGACCTATGTATTTGACCTGACAGTAGCCTGCAGTGATATATGTGTCTTCTCATTACTTCTGTAATCTGAACAGCCCTGTCAGCTTTAAACATAGTGCAGCTTTTCCATGTCCACATCCTTATTTTTCGCTTCCATCGAAAGTAGACATATCGACTGACTGACTTGCAAAAGTCTTTCACCAGCCAGTGTCATCTGTCCTTGAACTGAGAAGTTTCTTAAGTATTTTCTCGTGCTTTGAAGTTTCTCCAGGGTGTGTGGTGTTTTGTAAGGCATAGGTTAACCAGCCGCACGTCCAACTCTCCTATTGCAGGCCTATAACCAGCCAGTAAACTATACGGGGTTTCTATATTAGTAAATCAAAAGTACTTCAATACTCTATTGGCTGTGCTCTTTAGAGAAATTCTCGAAAGCATATTTCGCTGACTTCATAAGATGTAATTATTATGCCACTATTGGCTGAAGAGCTGTTTAATGCTGTTTCTTCAAGCCTTTTCTGCAAGCGTAATCTTAAGATAACTGTTATTTCGCTTGAAATGAAGAAACAACGTTTCAGTACGAAAAAAGCAACGACTATTTGAATTGCTTTTGGTCTCAAGCACCAAAACACTTGTTTAATCCGTAATATGATATAACACCCTTTCAATTATTCATAATGTTAATTGGTGGACGGTAACTAGCAGTGGAATCCAGGATGCCCACTAGTCATCCACCGAGTGGTCACGTGGATAACGCTTTGGCGTTTGAAACTATGGGCACTGGGTTCGAGTCTGAGTGGGAACACCAGCACTCACTGCGGAATGCAGGTACATCCAGATGACGGGTCCAAATAGGACGAAACGGGCATCCTGGATTTCACTGCTAGTTACCATCCACCAATTAGCTTCTAATTACATGCCCAGACGTCGTCGAAGCATCTGCACAAGAGGCCGACATGTCAACCTGAGACCGAGCAATTCGGTCCAATCAGTCGACGGGAAAATCTAAAATTGAATTAACTAATTCATAATGTTATCCTATTTTATTGTCATTTATTATTTCTAGCATATAATCAAAATCATGACATCAAGGAAAGTTACAAATAAACGTCTTTGGAAGGGAATTACTCAAGGCTCTTGGAAAATGACAAAATTTCTAAAAACGATCAACTTTTCACCTTTTACAACTGATGTATTGAAAGCATATTTTATCAAGTATACAGAAATAAATATAAACAAAATACAACAGAGAGGAAGGATCACATTTTACAGATCATATATATATGCATATACATTGTCCGACAATTCCTAATTACAAAAAGCTAAAGTAAAATCTATTTTCACATATATTTATAGCTAAATATACCAAATATAGCCGCTGATATATAATGTAATGGAGGTGGGTCTAAATCGGTAGCTGAGGCACGATAAACCATTCTATAGAAGAGGACATTACCAGTTGGATTCAATGCTTGCACTGGTCTAAAGTTATTCGCCATATTCTTCATAGATTCATAATTTGGATAGAGTAATGAGCGAAATAAAGTCATCTGTAAAAGAGAAGAAAACAAGAAATAAACCGGAAAAGATATTGATACTTAAAAATTCCCATTGAGTTATATAAGAGAAGAGGTGTTCAGCGAAGCGTTACTCTTCTCGGTAATACCATTCCCAAGCTGTACAACGGCATACATATATATATTATCGTAAATTTTCTTAACAACAAAATGAATATTTCCAAAGATTTGTCATTAGGACTGTACATTTTAGATAACAAATTACGTAATGCACAAAGCGTTAATCGGTTACAAGCTAAAATAAGACTTTCTATAGTTTGGTTTGTAAGGGTTAGTTATGTTTATACGAGTTGATCACGGATTGATATCAGTTAGAGAACCACTGAGAATCAGGGAGTACTGGGCAGCTGCTGTTTGATCTTAGTTTGGGAACCATCGGCAGTATGCAACCTTCCGGTTACAAGACAAGCTCGTATACCATTCAGCCAATGGGACCCGATTCAATGGCCAGACCAGGAATTCTAACTTCTACCATTTCGGGAATTAGCGCGACCCCAACCCATTGTCGTTGGTGGGACATCCATCCTCGCACGTGACACCTATTTGGACCTCACTGGTCACGACTTCTCACTAGAACTCCAGGAAACTCCATCCTTTAGCAAGTCACTAGCGTTCATCAGATTAATTTTCTATAGTTTGGGTTGTAAGGGTTGAGTAGAACTCAGCTAATATTAAAAATGAACAAAAGTCAAGTTAACAACAGTGGTAATAGGGGGCAGAGATTTAATAAGAGGTCGGAGAAAGAAATATTATTCAACTAAGAAACAAACAATTAAAAAAAGACGAAACAACAATTACGTATATGAAATTAAGATAGGTCAGCTGCACTGTAGATTTAATGACTGAACACACTTCTTTTTTATGCAGAGTTCAGGTCTTAACATGTGAATTGTCACTGCTTCTGCGATTTGAAGAAGTTTGATCCGTACTCCATTTACAGAAAGTCAACATAGAGTGAACAACTTACTAACTTTCACAGTCAGGTGACCCTATATACAAAACAAAACGTGAGCCGTTCACGAGCCACAGAATACGCAGCATTTGTAGGCCTGATACTATCGAAGAGGAGCTAAGCACTCTGAAGAGAATCCTCCTCAAAAATGCCTATCCAGAATGTTTCATCACAAAATCTATGTGCAGCTTGAGAATGATATCCTCAAAAAGAGTAACTCTTCGCTGAACAACTTTTCTTTTGTATACATATACTACTTTTTGTCTCAAACTTAGACAAAATAATAAATACTAGAAAAGTGGGATGAATAAAATATGAGAGGATACAAAACTTTTGAAAGCTATTCCTAATAAAAAGTAATATGGTACATCTATTTTTGTAATGAATTGTATTTACTGGTGTTGTTTTGTGATGATTTGATCGATCTCAAGTCAACAGACTCGCCTGCTTAACTGTAGATCCTGCGTCTCATTCCCGGTGGGTTCATAGGCGCGTACTATTGATGAGTTCCGGACTGGGGCAAAACAACTGCCAAGCAAAGCTTTATCTTCAGGGTTTACCTTACTGAATTCAGTTCATGGTCATACTTGAAGCCAATCAAATGCTTGGCAGAAAACACCCAGCTGATGAGAGGGTAAATCTGCCTGGAGCTCTAATAAGAAGTCATGACTAGTGAGATACTTCACGTTGGGCGTGAAGAGGAAATCTGTCTGTCTGTTTTCGACATAGAACTTTACACCGATGTGCGGCAGTTCAAGTCGCCACATTCCCTCCATATAGCACACAAAGCAAGAGAAGAAAGTAGGAGAAATACATAATATAGACAGAAAATAGAGGTGTGAGACAAAGGAGTAGTAATAACGAAGAACAAAACAGTTTAATTGGAACGATTTTGAGACATGTCACCAATTGTTTCCAACCATTGGTTTTACTGTCCCGAGGACCCCAACCAGGAAGTCTACACCTGCCTACGTGGCCCAATCTAACTTGTGGGTTACATTGACTGATGAAGCCATGTTTTGGTTTGACCGCCACTAGCTCTTTTCCAGACTGTTCCTATATCAGCCAACATTGCCCATTGTCGAGGAAGGCGATGACTAGGCATACGTAACACATGTCCTAACCATCTCAGTCGATGTAATTTCACAGTCTCGTTGACTTATTTCCACTCCTTACCTAGCACTCGACGCCTAACCTCAATATTGCTCAACTTATTACACCACTTCACGCGGTAGATAGAACGCAGACACACCTATGATCAAAGACAGCTAATCTTTTCATGTCTTCCACTCTCAATGGCCAGGTCTCACAACCGTAAAGGAGGATGGAGCGGACTGTTAAGCAGTACACCCGCCCTTTGGTCGATAGTCAGATATCACGTCTACGCCAGAGATGGCGTAAACTGGCATATGCGAAACTAGCCCTCTGTATCCGTGCTGAGTTTTCGTCAGAGATCAACCCGTTGGCACTGGCTGATGGTACTTCCCAAGTAAGTGAAGCGGTCAACGTGCTCTACCACTTCACTTCCTGTTTCTAATCTAGGAGTCGGTGTAGTCCAATCCTGAAGAGGAAATACTCAACAGTGACATTGTCTGGTGGTAGTACTATATCCACTAGATTGGATATGCACTGAAGAGACATTCAATTGAGATCACAATCCAGGTAGGCTGTTGAATAGGAGCCCTAATATGAAGCGACAACCGAGAAGAATATCATATGAAGTGTAAATGCAAGATGATAAACAGTCGTGGAGATAGCTAATGTTGACTCCAGAGGACCAAGTGCTTCTGAAGCCCTGTGTAAAGCCCACTCAGAATACAAGAAATGAACAATAATATTTACAAGCAAATGTTTCGAAATAGTTTCTGCTAATTTACTCATTGATTTCTTTTTAAAGCTTTCACAATTATCAAATGAACCTCCTTGGTCAATCGAATTGCAATTGAGTATACCTGTCAAACTTAATGATGTCACATATATACACTCAAAAATTCTGAACAAAGTTTTTACTCTTCGGTACTAATGAATTATAGACATAACCGTCAGCTTCAGAGATTTAACAAAGCTATACTGTCGAAAGCGGAAGTTCCTGGGTTCGAAACCCAGTTGGTGCGTACTGCCAAAGAGTTATTTGTGCATCGGTAGAACAGCGGTAGGATGCTCGCCAACTGCGCATGTGGTTCAGGGTTCGATTCCCGGCCACGGATGCACTCCTTTACCTTGCTAAACCAGTAATAAAACTGGTAAACAGGGGAGGTTAGGCATGAGGCTAGCAACCGCATTACGTAAAAGATAAACACCACTGCTACTGAAACTTCAAGCCTTTAGCTTGAAGCCCTATGTTCCACTATGAGCGCAAAGCAATAAAAAAATTACTGTCGAAAGGTTCACATATAGCAACTTTTTAAAAAAATTAAGAAATTAAATTGTGCATAAAAAAAGGTTTGTTCAAATATTTATCCTACTCAGCCAATTTGTTTACTCTAGAAAATAATCATTTTGAACTTTGGTTTGTTTTCATTTGTACATAACATTTGTAATAAATACTGCTCACTATATTTAACTAACTAGTGATACGGCATACACACTTATTACTCAGTGAAGTATGTTTACATAATTTGTGGTAATTGTTTCTTATTTAAAATGAATTTTGACTAAACACTCATTTTCAGGAATTGATTTGTAAGGATTAGATTTGTTTTTCGAATGTGTGACCATGGATTGATTCAGCTAGAGAACCAGTGAAGACCAGAAAGAAGTACTGGATAGTTGTTTCATCCTAGTTTGGGAATCATCAGCAGTAAGCGCTCACCACAGGGGTTTGAACCTAGGACCTCCCGGTTACAAGGCAAGCTCGTATATCATCCAGCCACTGGGACCTGATTCTATGGCCCGTGCTACAGGACGCAGTTTTCTGGAGTTCCAGCAAGAAGTTATGACCCGTGAGGTTCATCTAGTCGGGAGTGAGGATGGATTTTCCACCGATGACATTAGTTGGCGGTCACGCTAAATCACTAATTGGTAGAAGTTAGAATTCATGGACTGGCCACTGAATCGGGTCCCAGTGGCTGAACACTCGTTGTCTATACACTTATCTATTTATTTACTGACTATATCTGACTTTACTTTGTCCCTTATCTAATCATCGTGTTGTCCAATACACAGAAACTTATCTAATTATTATTTATGAACACTAACAAAACTCAGTCTTCCAAATATCTTTAACAGAAATCTTATCATGTTTGGCCTATAATTCACATATGTCAGACGTACGATAATGCGGCAAGACTAGTCTGCATAGACTATTGGTTTCAGGATGTGTGATGAATTGGTTGCACATATCGGACAATTCGTTTATTCGTCAGGTTGCATCAGCTCTATCAGACATGGAATCTCAGCAAGGATACAAAAGGCCTGTCTGGCGCTTGCCAAATTACATCATCCCTAGCTCAGCCTCGACATCTGAGAATCGACCACTCCGTCCTTCTATACGGCTGGGAGACACGGTCGTTTGTGCCTGCGTTCAGCTGTTTTTGTTAGGTAATACAATATGGTCAATGTAAATGGGGTGGGGTTAAGTGTAAAGTTCTAGGTAAGAGTGAAAAATGAATCAGTGAAGTTACATCAGCTGAGATGGCCAAAATACGTGTTACACATGCCAAGCCGTCTCCTTCTAAGTCATTTAATGTCAGCTGACATAGACGTAGGTGTGAAAGAAGCCCAGAAGATGGCTTCAATACATAAAGTCTTTTTCTGTTGGTTTGATTCACGACAAAAGAGAAACAAGTAGCTTCAAAAGACCTATAGTAAGCAGAAATATGCGGGAGAGAGAATAATTACACTGAAAAACATGAGAGTTTAGTGGACAGTGGAGATTACACAGGGTGTGTGCATTTTCGTTTTCGCTATAAGTTCTTAGTGTTCTGAAAAATTCGACTAAATAGTCTACACCACCATGCACGGTTGTAACAACAGAAGACAAGGGCCAGGCAACAGATCATTTATTAAGGAAATCAACGCATATTTATATATTTTCATGTACATTACTATGGATATTTAAGCAAACAAACACAGTCTTCCGATTGGTTGTTTCTCACGTAAAGTTAATCTTTCATCTATTTGTGACTGTTTCTTGAATGTCAAATCCGCTATATGTTAGCTGCATCCACCTACGCAAAGTCTTCTGTGGTCGGTTTTGAATTAATCTTTGTTCACATTTTCTCACGACAAATCTTGGGAACGTAAATATTGACGTAAATTACTGTCTACTAATTTGGCTAGTAGACAGCTCTCACCACACGGTTAATTCAAACCAACTGTCAAAGGCTTGATACCACTTTTTGGTTTGACCGCCCCGCCCTTACACTTTTCTAACCTAATCGTATGTCAGCTAATATTGCTCGATAAGGAAGGCGAATGGCTGGCCATGAGAAATACGGGTTTCAGCCATCTTAGTCCTTGTACCTCCACGTCCTCATCGACTGACTTACCATCCTTACCTAACAATTCGTGTCTAACCTTAATATTTCTCATCATATTATACCAACAAGGACAGGAGACAGGACATGAAAATCTGTGGTTATTCTATGAAATCATTTCACATAATATATATGTCTGATTTCCCACAAACTGGAAGATGTGCAAATGAAAAGCAACAACTTGGTGGTAGAAGAAGCATCAAAGATAGGACTTCAAGTGAACATAGAGAAAACAGAGGTGATGAAAATTCCTGGGCAACACCACCAACAGCAACAACAACAACAGACAAAATTCAGCATAAATGGGAGGAACCTGAAAGAAACAACCTTCTTTACCTACCTGGGAAGCATCGTTTCAACTACAGGCGGAACTGACGAGGATATCAAAGCAAGAATCGATAAAGCAAGACAAGCTTTCACTACTCTCAAGTCTGTGTGGAGGTCAACAACACTCAGGATCAAAAATAAGAACCGGATTTACAACTCCAATGTGAAGTCAGTGCTATTCACTATATGGATCAGAGACTTGGCGCGTCATAAAGGGCACCTCAAACAAACTACAGACCTTCATCAACAGCTGTCTTCGCTCAGTATTGAAGATCATAAGGCCGGCCAGAAAAGGTCAGCAACAGAGATCTCTGGGAGCGAACCAACCAGTAACCGATTGTGAAACAAATAGGCAGAAGGAAATGAAGATGGATTGGACATACTATGAGGAAACCATCAAGTGACATCACTAGACAAGCCCTCGAGTGGAACTTGAAAGGGAAGCGGCGAGATGGTCGTCCAAGGGCGACTTGGCGGAGGTGATGTGAAGAGGAGATGAAAACGTATGGGCAGACATGGAGCCATGTGAAGACTCTAGCAGACAACCGAACGCAATGGAGACGCACAGCCGAAACCCTATGTTCCTCTAGGAATTAAAGGATACAATAATAATAATAATGCAGAAGGACATAAGCTTGTCAAATTACCACAGACTTTAAATTTTCATTTTATTATATAGAGTAACGTCAAAATGAAGCTGGTACATTAACACACATCAACACCTTAAAAATGATCTGAATAGCGAAAGAAATTGATAACATTACCTCAGCTGATCTAACTGCTACTGCATCAGTAAATACAGTCCACAAAACATTTTCTGTGCATGGTGGTGTTGTCAATGAACCTTGATAACGAAAATAACTATCTGTGCTAATGTTCAACAAAATATTTGACAAATTGAATTCTGGAATACTTTGTGAGACACCAGGTGAAAGAGATGATCCAAGTTGTTCAGAAAGCTTTCCATATTTACTCATTTGACTTTCAGTAGTAGTTATTGTATCACGAACTTCATGCAACACTCCGAGTACAGCTAGACCGCCTGGTCTATCCACAGCTTCTTTCAAAGTAGGGTACATCTCTTTCCAAAATGCAACTATATGAGCCTTTAGAAAAAATAACAATTGAAAGTATTAGACAGTAAGTAAGTATGCAGACAATTGTGACAATATATAAAAAAGATGAAAACCTCAGAAGTGTTTCTCTGCTTTAGCCTTATACACAGATCTGTCAGGTTCTAATTTATCTTTGAGTATATAAAGGTTGAACCTAGTCGCGTATAATTCAAAATAGAAAAAAATTGCACAAATGCAGTTAAAAAAATCAATATTTTATGGCTATAACTAGCCTGAGAGGGATGGAAGCGTTTTGTTTACTGAATATCCAGTCGTACATATGGGTGCTTGGGGTTCCATTTGAATAGCTACGAATAAACAGAAGCAGTTTTCTGTGCAAAGTTGCTTCTACAGAGATAAGTGGTGCTTTTAAAATTTAAAATAAAACCTGTTTTTACTTCTGAATTGTTAGGAGCAACCTTTGTAGTTCAGTATACTGTCTATAAATACTACCAACGGCCATAAAAATAACAGCGAACACCAAACCCTCAACAAAAGCAGAAGTCTTTAATGCTGGAAGACGGTAGGATCAGACGAAATACCCCTGAAGCACTGAAGACGGATTCACAGACCTCAGTGGATGCTCACATGACACTATTGTAAATGGTTTGAAAGGAAGGAAAAGCGCCTAATTATTGGGAGAAAGACAACTTTTTGAAACTATCAAAGAAGGGTAACTAAGGCCTACTGAAGAAGTGGCGTTGAAATATGCTTTACTCCCCTCCAAGCAAAATATTAAGGCACGTCATGTTGGAGAGAACAAAAGATGTACTGGATGCAGGACATCTCCCGGAAAAAGTCAGGTTTGGGAAAAACGGATCATGTACTGATCAAACTGCAACTCTGAACACAGAATATCAAACCTCTACCTCAGCTTCATAGACTTTACAAAGGACTTCTCTATTGTTGAACGTAGAGTGGTTTAGAAACTGCCCCTACACTACAGAATGCAGTACCTAAAATCTTTATCAACCTCATTCAATGGCTGTGGGACAGTACTACGTGTCAAGCGATCCACAACGGAAAACTCAGCGGGACGTTTGAAGTCAAGACAGGAGTAAGACGAGGCCTACTTGTTGTAGCCATTTCTACCCATAAATTTTTTGTACTAATTTTCTTGGCTAATTATCACTTCAGATGGATGAGTGATCATGTCAAGGTCAGGGGTAGAGAAAAACGATTTTTGGGGTTGAATTTTATGTGTATTATATATGTGTCAGTGTGTAACTACGTTAACTACTACGTTAAAATAAGAAAACAAAAGGTTAGTTAATGCAAGAGTAATGATAAGGGGTAAGGGAATTTATATGCACAGGATATACATGATGGAAGGCCATATCAAAAGGGCCAATGTAATAAGGTATTTATGAATTTACAAACTTAACAGCAAGCCAGAATAGTAGTAGTAGTGGTGGTTGCACTTTTTTTCATACAGAGCAGCGGTTGTCTCAGAAGATTCGCGATAGCCTCTGTCGTTTGGAGTATGTAGCACCTGGATGTTTTTGGCAATTTGTTTGGCACCCGATAGATGATGAAGAAGGACTCTTCAATGCTGCCTTTGTAGCCAGTTTCGACCAGGTGTTCTACTATAGAGCTATTGATGCTTCTACCTACACCTTTATTTAACCACACAGGTAGATGTTCCCTAGTGAGCACGAAAAATAAAGTTCTTAGAGCAACGGCCAATATAAATCGCTTCACCACAAGCGCAGTTGAATCGGTAAATGCATTTAGAAGTGTCTAGTCTAGGTACTTCATCTTTCTGATTAATTACTGTTAATAAAACTTGTCATCACATAACTTATAAGATGTTTTGTAATGTATCAAAGATGAATGAATATTAAAGGAGCACTAGAGATGACGATATAAACCCTTTTACCTTCTAAATCCGATAATTTTATTCTAACTACTAAATAAACGTTTTTTAAATTCTTTAGATAACTTATGACGTGTTGAAAGCAATTTCTATTGACGTAAATTAAATGCTCCAAATATACATCACGAATGTTGAATTTCGTGGGCATTCATAGGTAGAATTAGTTGTTTCTAGGGTTTGTGAAATGTAGAATTAAAAACAGTCTTCTTGATCGTGATGAGCATGTAAAAAAATGTTGCGTATCTTTCTGTTAACTGCCAATTGTCATAATACTGTGACCGATTGAAATGATCACATATGAAATGAGATTTCGTTTGGAATCCAAACACTTTGCCTCTAAAATGATTGCATGACGCAAGCTGAGACTGTTGTATACGATAAGCAAAGAGAATTTACAAAGTGCAATCAAGAAACAAGACTGTATAAATGCACTACTGCATATACTGTTGATTGATTTACTTGGGTAGTTGTTTAACGCTGACATCAACTGGTAGTGTTTACTAGTCATATCAGAGTGACTTTAACGCCGGACTGTTTTTTGCTCGTTTGCCACCGAGTTCACCAATGGTATGTCCAGTTTGGACGAACTCAGGGAGTCTAGTCAGTTTTTGATGTAATTGTGTTCTCTGAGGTGGATATTTAATTCGCGAAGCTTCCATTGCACTACTAGCCAACATCTTCAGCGCACACTTCAATTTGAAGTTAGCTTTTAGATTTCTCCATGAGTTTATAGTCATCTCTCCTGGTGGGTGAACTTGGACGTGATTGGTGTGTTTTGTGTGTTTTCACACTCTACAGGCTACTTCTCTTGGTACTAATTGTTTCCTTCAACTGAACCTTGACCCTTTGTGTGTGGGATTTACTTCTTATCGATTGGCATATTTTGTCTATGTCGATGTGTCTATTGATTGATGATTCACTGAAATACAAAGCTTCTAAAAATTCTGTAGCATTCTTGATATTTCCTCTCTCCAATATTTGAACGTTGTCCAAGTCGAATTGATGTCCGTTTATGTCCGCTTATGATCATAGATGCGAAGACGGAGAGGACATCCACTTTGACCAATGTAGTGTTTCTCGAAGTTGTTACAATTTATTTTGTCGATAATGTTGGTTTTATCTTCCTTCGCTGTTGAGTCTTTTGGTTGACACAGAGTTGAGTGAAGTGATTTTGTTGGTTTGTGTGAGACATCAATTCGTAGATGTTTGAAGAGTCTTGCAGCGATTTCTGAGATGTCCTTTATGTATAGTGGAGTGATTTTCTTTGTGTTTTCTTTGGGGCCTTTGATTTGGTAGGTTGGCTTGGGCAATGAAAAGCTTCGTAAATGAACCACCCAGCTCAGAGAAAACAACTACATCAAAATCATCCACCTGAGCTGCAAATCTCCATAATATAGTCGAATCAGTCCAAACCACAAGAAATACATTTGTATTCTTGCTGTATTTTCATTATTATAAAAGCTTTTGTATTTCCCAGTGATTGAAGAAAACAAAACTATATTATTCTTACTGACGTTCCGCTATCTAAAATGCTACTAATAGCATTATTAAAGTAATATTAAACTAGAATTTACAAAATCTCAGCTGACATATACACTAATCTGATTACAGTTCTTCAGCATGAGTCGATTCCCAGGCTGTCAAGTAGGTGAATTGGTAAAGATAACAAACCGTGTGGAGATTGTTGGTTTTGATAAGTGTATAAACTTATAAAAGCAGCATAACCAAAACTGCTTATTACGTTTGTGTTGATTTTGTCAATTCATTAAGGGGGTGCGTTCGTTTAGGAACTAGGTCAAATTTTGTCTTGATCCGTCATTCCTGTTCAGATTTCATTCAATATGAAGTGCTTCAAATATGAGACGTTCTATGTAATTTTCAAAATTTTCCTGGATGATTTTAATATTGGCAAAATCAATTTCGTGGCCTGATTGTATAATGTGTAGAGCAATAGCTGACAATTTTTCAGGCTTTGCAATTAATGGTGTTCTCTGAGCTGATTGGTTTAGTTGCGAAGCTTTCGTCGTCCTTCTAGACAACACCTTCAGCGCCATATTTAGCACAAAGTGAAATGATTTAAATTTCTTCATGAGTGATATAATTGCGTCTCCTGGACGATGAAAGCTTCGCAACTAAACCAACCAGCTCAGAGAACACTATTAATTGCAAATCATCCACCTGAGCTACAGATCTTCTCTATTATTTCAACATCTATAGTGCCATGTAAATGTCCAGATGATACGCATTCCTAAGAATAATTTGAGCACTGAGTCATAATAAATTATTTAAAATAATTCATTATGATTTTCTACTGCCAGTGAATTTCTCGGCGGTGTTTTCAAAATTATGCTTTTCGTCTTTATATTTTAAAGAATTCTACCCTATGAAAAAGATTCCGAATTTATTTAACTTAGAGATTACAGGATTTTCATCATGAGCTGACATTAGTTAGAGAGCCATTGGAAAACCTGGGAGTACTGGACAGCTGTTTCGTCCTAGTTTGAGACTTTTCAACAGTATGCACCCACCGGGATTCGAACCCTTGACCTTCTGGTTTACAAGGCGAGCTCGTATGCCATTAAGCCACTGGGACCCGATCCAATGGACGATGAATTCTAACTTCCGCCAATTCACGACCCCTAGCCAATGTCTTCGGCGAGTATTTGTCCTCACACCTGACCTGCTGCACCCTACTGGTCACGACTTCTCACTAGAACCCCAGGTAACTAACTACCTGAATGGGGCAAGTCGCTAGTGAGCATCCCATTGAAGAGTTCCGAACTAGGACGAAACGGCTGTCAAGTACTCCCAGGTTTTCCAATGGTTCTCTAACTAATGTCAGCTCATGATGAAAATCCTGTAACAATCAATCCTACACCACTTGAAAAAGAGTCATGTTACCTTAAATGTGATATTTCTAAGGAGACGGAATAGAATAATAAATTACAGAATGGAATTCTCAGCATTTTTACTACAGTATTGCATCCAGTTAGTACATTATCAATAAATAGAATTCTACAAAGATTAAGGAAATCTCAGTTCATTATGACAACAACACATTGGCATGTCGGTAGCAAATCCAAAGTTGGAAAGTGTTTGAAGGTGTTAGAAAAGTGAGAGTCATATTTACTGTGAAACAAACAAAAAAATCCGACCAATACGAATCAAATTACAACCAGCCAACTAAGAAGCCACTGGTATATGTGACACTGGAAAAGACAATTTTACGGAGTGATAAGAATGGACGATGATGACTACCAGTGGAATCCAGGATGTGTATTTCATCCTATTTCGGGACTCATCAACTAGATTCTCAGTGAGTCGTGGTGTTCCAACCCAGCACCTGACATATCAGACGACAAAGCATTATACACCAGGACATTGGCTTCATGAGGGTCACCTCATATGCAACAGGTACCAAATATTATTTGGCGAGTCCCAAATAGGACGATGTCCACATCCTGGATCTCACTTCTAGTCATCTTCCAACAAATACAATTTCCGATAAGTTTGTTTCTCTACATAAATTTAAGCAAAACCAAAAGCCTAACTTTCTGGTTTCAGGTTGTTTCATTTCTTGTTAGTTATAAGCAACCTAACAGTATCGTGAACATACACAAAAGTGATATAACATGCATTAAGGATAAGTGCAGAATCAATAAAAAGAAGAATACATTGTAAGCTTAAGTTCTGGAAAATGTCCGAAAAGAAAAGGTTGGGAAGTAGATTTTAAAAGGATTTGCAGTCTATCATATTAATAAACTAAAAGTTTCATGCGTCGGTGGCACAGCGGTTAGGAAGCTAGCTGACCGTGCACATGGTCCGGGGTTCGATTCCCGGCCACCAACGCACTCCTTTACCTTGCTAAGCCAGGAATAAAGCTGGTAAAGAGGAAAGGTTGGGCATGAGGCTAGCAACCCCATCCTGTAAAAATAATAAACACTGCTACAGAAACTTCAAGCCTCTAGCTTGAAGCCCTATGTTCCACTGGGAACGGGAAGGAATAAAAGAAAAGTTTCGGAGTCGAAAAAACAGAGAAGCGAATACAAGAATGATCACAATTAACCCTAAGTTAAGAAATTATGTGACTGAGAAAAATAAGTGAAATTCGGTACACTGATGCGAGCTTGATCATTTGAAAATCAGGATTATTAGTCCAGCCGAAATAAAATTATGATCATTCCTAGTGGGTGTTTGAGTGACTCCATCTATTTTAGCATTGATTACAATGGTTCGTTTGAATAATACCTCAATTGTTGAATCCGTAACATTAAATATCCCCGATATCGCCAACAAAACATATCATCATGTCCACTAGATGCCGAATAATTACAGGAGACAAATGCTTTCTCCCAGCTACATTGGAATACATCCATGTAACGGAGTGAAACCTTCCTGCAGCAGGTGTATGTAAATTAACATAAAGAATTGAAAATAACTTAAGCAGTAAATACCTAGCTACTTCTGAGATAAGACCATTGCTAATTCTCTGACTGGGAAGTATTCATTTCAGCTCACTAACCAACTGACTGATTTAGTTGTCATATGCTTACCTCCAAGACATATTCTCTTATAATCTATTAACATAAGAAACTCCATGCTGACTACACGAGTTAAAAGTGAGTGCTTGAAATTTTAGAAGTCAAAAGTCAGAATGTAAAATATGAACATGGCTGGTTCAAAAGTGGCCAGCCAGTCGCTTGGTATGGGTTCGCTTTTTGGACGACTCTAGAATCTAGCATACTAGGTGATAGGAAGCACAGAAAAGAGGAGGCCAGCAGCATACCACCCAGTAAAAATAAACCAGCCCTCGGAAATGTCATAGTTTGAAGTTCAGTGTGAACACAGAAAACCGAACACTGCATCCTACTGTATAACTGACCGAAACTTTCTCGAAACATACACAAACATAAAATGCTACATAGACATCAAAAAGCCGGTTATTCGCGATTAGGTCTATGTGGTTCCATTCAACAATAACAACATCAAAAACTCAAAATCACCTCAACAGTGCCGTTAGGAAGCAATACAGACCAGATGAGTTCCCAGTACAGAATAACGACTGTAAAACGAGGTCTGTCTATATCTTCTTATAGAGACTTTAAGAAATGTTTTACGACTGTTAACCCACACACACATGCACACTCCGTTTAAAGTGTTTAACAAAGGGAGACCAATATTTGTAAGTCCGAGATCAAATTTCGATCACAGCTCATACAATTTCGTTTATTGTACACCACCGACAGCAACAACAACAGACAACAATCAGCATAAATGGGAGGAACTTGAAAGAAACAACCTCCTTCACCTACCTACTTGGGAAGCATCGTTTCAACTACAGGCGGAACTGACGAGGATATCAAAGCAAGAATCGGAAAAGCAAGACAAGCTTTCACTATTCTCAAATCTGTGTTCAGGTCAACAACACTCAACATCAAAAATGAGATCCGAATTTTCAACTCCAATGTGAAGTCAGTGCTACTCACCATGTGGATCAGAGACTTGGCGCGTCATAAAGAGCACCTCTGACAAACTACAGACCTTCATCAACAGCTGTCTTCGCTCAATACTCAAGATCAGATGGCCAGAGAAGATCAGCAACAGAGATCTCTGGCAATGAGCGAATCAACCAGGAACCGATTGTGAAACAATTATGCAGAAGGAAATGGAGATGGATTGGCCATACTCTGAGGAAACCATCAAATGACATCACTAGACAAGCCATTGCTCGAGTGGAACCCGAAAGGGAAGCGGCGAGTTGGTCGTCAGTGCAAGGGTGACTTGGAGGAGGTTATGTGAAGAGGGGATAAAAAACGTGTGGGCAGACATGGAGCCAGGTGAAGACTCTAGCAGAGAACCGAACGGAATGGAGACGCACGGCTGAAGCCCTATGTTCCTCTGGGAATTAAAGGATACAATAATAATAATAACACTTGTTGATACTTGTTGAATGACTCATGATTGAACAAAGTTTTTAAAAACAAGAAATGTTCCTTTTATATATGAACCTCTGTTATGTTACTTTCGATTAATTTCCCTGAAGAAGTTCGGACCAAATTGCCGAACGAAACGTTGGAATTACTCACTTCAATCTCGCTGAGATTTTACAAATATAATTTTTTACAAACGTAAAGAGAAATATTAAAGCTGGAGATTTAAAAGGGACAAAGACAAATAATAAGGATGAGGCCAAAATACGACATTTAATCTCGGAGAAAAATGGATAACAATTACAAAGTTAGTCGAAACATCCAGATGAGTATAAGTTCTATAATTAGACAATTCATGAGGGATTTTTCAAACAATTATCTCATCACACCATGTTCTACTTCGAATGCGAAGGATGAAAGACACACTTTAATACTCATCCTTCTAGAAAATCTTTTGAATAAACGTCGAATTTTTCTGATCTACAGCATTCCCCTAGTTATTCTTCAGTTATTGCTCAAAATCTATTCGCCTAAAAATCACACGCCTCAAATTGCAGCATTTTCTGCCTAAAAACACCATTTTAAATATCATGTGTTAAAATTATGTAAAATATTGAGAAATGATAAAATTTTTAAATTACATCTATTGAAATAAAGAAACAATAATTACCTCCATAGGATATTTGCGACCGTCAAGAATATGTTCAGCACCCAAATCGTCATGTGAACCCCAATGGAAATGCATTTGAGCAACTTCATAACTATGGTCAAATCTTTCGTCGAATGAAACAAACCATGTATCAGCTGGGAATTCGATGACAACTGTATTTTTTTTTAATTTTTAAAGAAATTCAGAAAGCAATCATTTAGATGCAGTCTTTTACATATTCATTCATAAAATGTCATTGGAATATGCGTATTGGGTGCAGTTTCTTTTAAGAAAAATCACCTCAGTGCTGACTGCTACTCATTAGTCTATCTCGAAAAGACGTGGTACTAGGAAATATTGTAAAATGAAATGTAAATTTAATTTTCTATGGAATTAAGTTTATAATACCTCGTAAAAGCGGACTGGAATACGTACACATTGTGTAGCTTATGTATATGAGTGTGTACTTATAAACGCATATTTCAAACTGTTCAATCAGAATTTCATCGCATACATTCCTCAATACTAAAATAAACGTGTAACTAGGCACGCATATATATATAACGGATGCTCTAAAGATGTAGGTCGTTAAGTCATAAGTGAAACTGTTAAATCTGTGTGAAAGTCTAAATCTAGACTTTTCTTATCATTTTCTGTATAAGAATTTATATCCCTTGTGTGCGTGTATGTGTGTGTGTGTGTGGTCGTGATAGAAAAAATGACTACTCCTCTAGTCCTACCACAGAATTTATTATTTAAAAAAAGTCATATGCTACAAGATATTCTTTCCAAATCATATTTCATACACAATCACTAATACTGATGACACAATTTTCACTTTAATTTCATATAAAATGTTTCATCAAGCAAGTAACAAGTCAATTTAAATAATCAATTTTAGATTTTCCAGTCGATTGATCGGACCGAATTGCTCGATCACCGGTCGACTTGTCGGCTCCTTGTTCAGATGCTTCGATAATGTCTGGTCTTGCAACATGAAGTCAATTGGTGGATAGTGAATAGCAGGGGAATCCAGGATGCATATTTCGTCATATTTGCAGGTAAATCCAGCTGACAAGTCCCGAATAGGACGAAATGCGCATCCTAGTCACTATCCACCAATTGACTTCAAGTCAATTAGTAGTATAGAAGACATTGAATTTGAAAGTAAGTCAAATGTTAAATACCTACGATTATGTCTTTTCTGCAACACCTCATGCTATTCCCACACTTTGTCGATCCTTTGTACTCAGGAAGTTAGGATAACCTCGTATCACTCAGACTCTACTGTAGCTGTTTGTTCACTTGCATATTCCGCTTGCTCCTTTTGATTGCTCTCACTTAATCTTTCCTAAGCCGCATGCAAAAGACTTTGGTAACGTTTTGAGGGCTCTAAAAGCTGTCAGTGGAGCGAGTGAGGTGTAGCTAAACAAACCTGAACTCATGCAATACGCTAGAGAATGTCATCTTAGATATGATGGAGATGATTTGTAGTTCAAGTGGATGATTTTGATGTGGTTGTGTTCTCTGAGCTGGATAGTTAATTTGCCAAGCTTTCATTGCCCTACTAGGCAACATCTTCAGTACATACTTCAATTTCAAGTGATTTCTCCATGAGTTTATTAGTCATCTCTCCTGGTGACCTTGAACGCGATTGGTTAATTTATGTGTTTCCACACCCTCTAGACTACTTATCTAGGTAATGATTGTTTCCTTGACCTGAACCTTGACCTTTAGTGTGTGAGATTTTCTTCTTATCGGTTGGTAAATTTTGTCTATGTCGATATGTCTATTGATTGACAATTCACTGGAATACCAGGCTTCTAAAAATTCTCTAGCATTCTTGGTATTTCCTCTGTCTAATATTTAAACGTTGGATATCTTCCAAAAGAATGGATATCCACGAAATCTAATCAAAAGACATATACCCCGAAGCCAGCCTACCAAATCAAAGGCCCCCAAAAGAAAGCACAAAGAAAATCGCCCTACCATATATGAAGGACACCTCAGAAATCGCTGCAAGACTCTTCAAACCTTTACGAATTGATGTCGCACACAAACCAACAAAATCACTTCACTCAATTCTATGTCAACCAAAAGACTCAACAGCGAAGGAAGATAAAACCAACATCATCTACAATATAAATTGTAACAACTGCGAAAAACACTACATTGGTCAAAGTAGACGTCCTCTCCATCTTCGTATCCATGATCATAAGTGGACATAAACGGACATCAATTCGACTGGGACAACGTTTAAATATTAGAGAGAAGAAATAGCAAGAATGCTAGAGAATTTTTAGAAGCCTGGTATTCCAGTGAATCGTCAATCATTAGACATATTGACATCGACAAAATTTACCAACTGAGAAGAAGAAAATCTCACACACAAAGGGTCAAACTTCAGTTGAACGAAACAATCAATCCCAACAAAAGCACACCAGTCGCGTCCAAGACCACCAGGAGAGATGACTAATAACTCATGGAGAAATCTGAAAGCTCACTTCAAATTGAAGTATGCGCTGAAGATGTTGCCTATTGGGGCAATGAAAGCTTTGCAAGCCAAACCATCCAGCTCAGAGGACACAACCACATCAGAATGTCACCTTGTTGAACTCTAAGCATCCTTTTAGCATGCAACTCTCTCCATACATCTCATTAGGTCAGAGTGGAAGCAATTATGGGAGGCTTTGTTCAGATGAATAAGTATAAAAATGTTGTGACACCTTATTTAGCACATATTTTATATAATGAGAAAAGTGTTAGGCATGAAACCACTGACTTACTGCATATCAGTAAATAAACGGTATTTTTAATTCTTCCTGTCAAATTGATATATTGTTGTTACCATTTCTATTTACATTAATTTCTCATTTATATTTTTATTGACGTTATTATTAATGTAAATGTCCTAGTGATTAATTTCCCTCCTATTATGCAATACTACATGGAAAATCAGATATAATATTGTACTACATGCTGAGGAGTTAACATTGTATCAAAAGTACTGTTTGAAATAAATCTACTGTCATTATGATTAATTGCTCGAGGTGTGTTACATGCATATATAAATATATATTTATATGTACTGTGTTAGAACAAGACATATAAGCGAACAATATTGTTTTCAATTAGATCTTCTTCAGGCTTTACTCTAATTTACATAGATTTATATATAAAATTTTAACCAATGACGGTGATTTTGGGGATCAAATAATAATCTTAATAATCTTAATAATAATAATAATGTGGTAAATGTTTTGAACGTAGTTAATAACGATGATTATAGTGATAACAAAATATTGATAATAAGGTTTATACAGGTGATAAGAATAACAAATATAGTATATATATATATAAGTGTATAAATAAATTGGGTCAAATCTTAAAAGGTGAAGTGGAACGATAATCAGAGTTTAAATAAATATTATAAAAGTACAAAGGAGGTGGAAAATAAGAAAGGGTGGGAGGGTTTTGAATACAGTTCACCTAGGCCAAGGGAGAGACAAAGGTAGAACAAACTTCTTTCGCTGCATGCAAAGACTAGGATTGCTCTCTCGAATTCCCATAGCTTCGGCTAGGTGTAAAAGACGGGTTCTGATTCCGTTCGAAAGACTCGATGGAATGCGATAGATAACTTTGAAGGCATTATTTTTGTCCATTTGATGACCACTATCAATCAAATGAGCCAAAATAGAACTTTGTATGGATTTTATTTGACCTTTTCCAAACCATGAAGGAAGACGCTCATTAATGCGTTTGTTAAGCTGTCTAGTTGTTCGCCCTACATTGCTTTCTCCGCAGGAGCAACTAAATTTATAGATACACATCGAAGTGGCACAGATAGGTAGCTTATCTTTCACTTGAGCAATCAAAATTGTTCGGCTGGAAAATGACAAACAAAGGGTGGCGGCAGTATAAGTCTGTTTTATCGCTCTCGATAATCTCAGATGTAAGACTTCACTAGCCACGTCCCCATTAAATTGAAGTTTCATGAACAGTTCTTTATAATCATCGTTATTAACTACGTTCAAAACATTTACCACATTATTATTATTATTAAGATTATTAAGATTATTATTTGATCCCCAAAATCACCGTCATTGGTTACATTTTGATATATAAATCTATGTAAATTAGAGTAAAGCCTGAAGAAGATCTAATTGAAAACAATATTGTTCGCTTATATGTCTTGTTCTAATATACTGTGTTTGCAAAAACGTGTCATTGTTCTAAAAAATCTAATCAAGTGGAAAATACGTCAATGAAACACCTTTACACAATTTAGCAGACCATAGAACAATGTGATTATAGTGTCTCACCACTCAGTGAGTAATCTGAACTTCCTATTTTTGAGAAATGAGACTGTGTAAACAATTGACAATCTTATGTCGAAAGACAAGAGGATGTCAATTCTTCAGATAATGAGGTTTCTGAAATAAATGCTACGCATGCTTTACTAATGTCTAGCTTTAATAATGACATCATTTAGATATGGGTTCACATTTTATTTCTTATTTCATTCCTTTGCCTACCAAGTTTAACATAGGGCTTCAAACTTGCGGTGGTAAACTTCAGTACCTCTGGTGGTGCACTTTTATCGGGTGGAGTTGCTGGCCTCACATTAAACCTTCCCTCTTTACTTGGTTTACACCTGGGTAAGCTAGGCCTATTAGTACGTTGGTCAGGAATCGAGGCCCAGACCAAGTTCACGGTTGGTGAGCATTCTACCACTGAACCGCCGACACACTAGACTCAGGTTACATATTCTACATTCTCCTTCTTCTCATTTATCCTTACTCTGTGCTTTGAAGTTCCTCTAGCAATTGCACTGCAAGCTCCACAGCAAATATTCACTGCGTTTCTAGGCTTAGCAGCGTCTTATAGACGACTAGTGAACCAGAGTGTACTGACATGAAATATGATGAAAGAGACGGTTACCATAATTAAAGACACTCAATTTGAAATGTATCCAGCTTCAGTCTTTTTTGGTTAAATTCTCTCGACAAATATTAACATCTTAATCATTGTCCTGAAACCAAAAACAAATCATTTTCATGAGCCTTTGGATCGGATCCCAGTGGCCTAATGGTCTACGAGCTCGCCTTGTAATCAGAAGGTTCTGAGTTCGAACCCCAGTGGGTGCGTTCTGTGACGAGTCCTAAACTAGGACGAAACAGCCATCCAGTACTCCCTGCAGGTTTTCCAATGGTTCTCTAACCGATGTCAGCTCATGATGAAATCCTGCAACCAAAACATTTTCTTACTCTAATTATCAGGGAAGAAACAGTGGGAAAGCCTTCAATGTTTCAGGATTAATTTCCATATAACCATGCCATAGTGTCATGTGAAATTGAATCGTTTTCATGGAGTAAAATGGCGCTTACTCCTTCAATGTGGAATAAATTTTATTTATTTCAACATAAGCTGATAGTTGTTCATTATTCACACTTTCACACACTAAACCATTGTAACCAAAAGTTCTAAGAAAATCATTAAAGACATACCTGAATGCCCATTGTTCTTGACGACATTATTACTCGTTGGAGCTGTTTCCCTTCGATAAATTTTAATCGCTTTCAATTCAGATAAGTAGAAAGCTCTGCTTGACATAAGACTTATAGGCGATTGAAAATGACCACCACACATTCTCTTAAAGTGTTTTGGCCAAGTTTTAGGGCCTGTTTCTTCATTGGTATATGACCAATGTGTCGCTACAGTTTAAAAAAAATGATATTTAATGATAGAGAAGTAAGTAGATAAACTGGATGTATAAGCGTTAATATCATTGATCATAGAAAACATCTACACTGCTTTGATGATGCCATATCGTCAAGAGATGAACGCTGTAGATTATGGGTCATACTATTTCAAATGTGTGTCTGTGCCTGACAACTTGAGAGTGCTATTCACAACTTCACATCTTCAAACCAAGACAGAATGACTCTTCAAAGCCTATTATTTTTTTCAATGATTGCTCTTGTTTTCTTAAATTCCAGATACAATCTATGTTAAAGACAACTGGTAGAAATTCCAGAAGCAAGCATTGGAAAACTTTAACTCAGATAGAGACTTTAAGAAATTCTTAATATGATCTGGCTAAGTGGTTCTTCACAATCTCAGTTTAGGTACCACCACCTTTACTTTTAACTTTCATAAATGGCAGTTTCTTTAGTACTATATGGGTTCTTTCGCGTTTTTGCTTTACTCCCATGCTGTTCTCGATGAATCATGGAAGTAAAGCAAAGACCCAAAAGAACCGAGACAGTGCCAAGGAAACTGCCATTTATGAACATTGAATTTAAAGATGATACTGCAGTTGAGGTTCTGAAGAATTACCTATGCAGATCACTCAGGAAAGCCTTCTCTGTGGCTAAGTTACAGATCAGTTTCTACAACCGACAAATAATCAATGGATAGGTGAAGGATAAACTGCCGCTTTGGGCCACTTCAGTGTGTGTGGATAAATTCACCTTCTCCTGAGGAGCTAGTTATATTGGCCGCACAAAGCACACACTTTCCAAACATTACCCAGAATGGTTAGCAAAAGGACAGTGCAAGACAGTTACTAGCTGAATTCACGAGCACTTGGTGAACTTAAGTTACGCATCCCCACCACAAGGTGAGGCCAAATGGTACAAAGAGCACCAGGTTTCGGCATTTGTGTATGGCGGAGGCTTTAGCAATTCGTCAATACAACCCCGAAATCTGTCAACAGAAAACTTTTTCCAGTCTCTTATTCTACCATGGTCTTAATCTCTTCATTCGTCGTTCTCTGTAAATTTTTTATTTTGTAATGGTTACTTTGTATTTACTTTAATAACTAATTAACTATTATCACCCTCAAATGTTCCTTTTGTACGAATTCTCATCCTCTTCACACTTGTTTAATTGACACTCAATAGCAATTTTAACCTCATCAATTTTTCTAACCCTTTCTTCCTTTGAGCCGTTGAGTGTTACGTAATTTACAACTTTTATTTTTACTTTTGAAGCCACTTCCGAGTAATTATATTAATTATATGATCCCTATTACTCAATAGTGAACTTTTATACATTTTTGGTTAATACGATTTTACAGCCTCTGAAAATGATTGCGTCGATAGGGGGAATTTTCTCCGCTGAATCGTCTTTTATTTTATTTATGACTCAATGGGTATTTTCAGCGACATCAGAAATAGAAACATTAAAGTTTCTCATTGACCGTGCTGTTTGCATAGGCAGTTCTTCGTCCTGAGAGTTCATCGTACTGCACTATTTTCATTGGTCACCTCAATATTTTGAATGTGACACGGTCAACTTCTATGTGAACTAATATAAACTGATGCCAAAAGTGTGGTAGTCTGTAGCAGAAGTACAGTTCAGATATCCGTTCCTCAGTCTTAGACTGTCACATACAGGATAACTGTTTGGAAAACACCTCCTTACTGATCCAGTCACCATACTTATACTTATTTGGATGTTTCAACTAACTTTGTAATTATTCTTCATTATTCTCCTAGACTGTATATTATTGTTCTGACATTCGCATATTAAATATTAATTTTATTCTCATTATTTGTCTTCGTCCCTGTTTAATCTCCAATTTCAATGCTTATCATCGTGGTTGTGCAATACAACGATAATGTGTTATTTATGATGTGATTTTGTTTGAGTGAATGAAGGTGATTCTATCCTTGGACTGTCTGGTGGCAGTGTGTGCGGTATGTGATTCTTGTTGTCAGAGAGTTTCAATCCCTCCCTGTTGGGAATATTCTATTTGATTATCAGGAATTTCTGCCAGTTGAATTTTGGTTAACTGACCTTTTTCTACTGATATTTTTATTATTATTATTGTTTCCTTTAATTCCTAGAGGAATATAGGGCTTCAGCCGCACGTCTCCATTGCGTTTGGTTCTCTGCCAAAGTTCTCACTTGTGTCCCGGTCCGCCCACTTGCTTTCATCTCCTCTTCACATTATCTCATCCGAGTCACCCTTGAACGACCAACTCACCGCTTCCCATTCCGGTTCCACTCGAGCGATGGCTTGTCTAGTGATGTCACTTGATGGTTTCCTCAGAGTATGGCCAGCCAATCCATCTCTATTTCTTTCTGCCTATTTGTTTCACAATCGGTTCCTGCTGTGTTGGTTCGCTTCCAGAGATCTCTGTTGCTGATGTTTTCTGGCCATCTGATCTTGAGTAATGAGCGAAGACAACTGTTAATGAAGGACTGTTGTTTGTTTGAGATGCTCTTTATGACGCGCCAAGTCTCTGATCCGTATAGTAGCACTGACTTCACACTGTAGTTGAAAATACGGATCTTATTTCTGATGCTGAGTGCTGTTGACCTCCACACTGAACCTGTTGTGTACTGGGAACTTATCTGATATGCATACCTTCTTAAGACCACGTTGATGTCATTATTGTGGAATATAACTAAATAGACCTAACCATGCTTTTGCTGTCTTTGGGATGTTTTATGAATGCATTTGTCTCAAAGAAGTTTTGTTCAGCTATACAGTAGGATGCAGTGATCGGTTTCCTGTGTTCAACCCACAAAGAGTCAGTTTTAGGCGTTGTGGTATACTGAGTAACTGTATTCACTTGTATGTACAAATAACTTTTTCACAAACATCTACTAACATACTGAAGAAATTATCTTTCAGTAGGATATCTAAAATATGTTTCTCATTGGGGCATAATTTCTCACTAAATTATTATTTAAGCAGCTTTCTAACGTTGAGAGCTTAGTAAAAATAGTTACTTAGATTTACTTAACCCACTGTTTAGGACTTGTAGATTTCAGGTATTTGAGATGTGCCATTTCAGTGGGAATATCTTTTTCAGATATTATAAATGACAGCTGATCACAGTAAAACAAGTACATTCACGGATTTATCTCTAACTGAAGCAGAAACTAAAATATGGGTGTGATTTTATGACTTTTACAGTCCCTAACAGAATTATTACTGTTAGTTAACCTTCTTTCACTGTGACGTAGAAAAATGTGAAGTGAATCAAAGTGGATCAATGTCAAATGGACTTGTTATTGCTACGAATATCTGTCTCTGGTGGCTAGATCTCAATGCCTCCAAAACTTTAACACAACAATCTAATCAAGTTGCAACAAAACTCCACATTTTCAAATCATTTTAAGCGTTTCATTTAATTCAGTCGACCATATTTCTTTATCTCTTATGTTCCAAGCAGAACAAAGGGCTTCAGACCTGAGCTGTGAAGTCTTATAACCAGCAGTGTTTCGTTCTACGGGATGGAGTAGACAGAACCATGCTCAGACCACCTTCTTCACTGGTTTTACTACTGGCTAAACAGTGTAGGAAATCCATCGGCTGGGAATCGAATCCCGGACCACATGATTAGTAGACAAGTGTTTTACCATTAAAACACCGAAGCGTAGCGACTATAACACTTAAAGTGATAACAGCAAAGAATAGACAGCAAAGCCAAAAGACCTTGATTCTACCAGCTGTATTCTTCTAGGTGAAAAGTGGCATTTATTTTTAAAAACAAGTGTATTTATAAGGCGTATGTGTAGTAAAATTGAATTATACAGGGTATATATCTCCAAGATGCTGTAAAAACTGGTCCCAGTTTCTCACAGAAGTATCTGTAGACACATAAAACCAACGTGGACACAAAAGATCTAAAAAGGCTGTATATCATATCCTATCATATCATATCGCAAACCATTTACTATTATAATACCCTTTTTTAGATGGACCCAGAATCCTTCAACAGAATTTGTATGAACTGTGATCAAGATTTGACCGGATAGTAGCAAAATAATTGAGCGCTTAGTGAGAAGTAGACATTTCCAGACAGGTAAATATAAGAGTGAAAGAGCATAAACAATGTCTAAAGGTGCTTCCAAAGACCTATGCAGACTTGAAGAAGCTAGAAAACAACTCAGCGATTGCACTGCATTCCACAGAAACGGGACACAAAATCGACTTTGATAAGACTAAGGTTTTACAGAAAGGTTTTGGTTCATATAAAGAAAGACTGACTGCAGAAGCCCTACATATATGGGTGAATCCCAACAGTTTGAACAGACGTGAAGGTGTGATCTTGGCTGATGCATGGCAAATCCTGACTAATAAATAAATTGGATATGTATCAACAACTAGTCACACTTGGTCAAATTCCCGATTGTCTGCGTCTTCTTATGGAGAGAATAACAAATTTATAAAATTATACTATATTTGTAAAAAATAAATTACTTTGCAACTATCCGGTCAAATCTTGATCACAGCTCATATGAGAATAACAAATGTTTTATGACTGTTCATCCACACACACACACACACCTTTGTATACTGCATATTCACATATATTTTAACATAAGCAGACTTATTTTGAAAGTCTGAGGTCAAATTTTGATCGCAGTTCATATAAAAAATTTTTGTTTGGTTTTGTTTATTATACCTGTTGACAGCTGTTTCTCGATTCCTATGACAGGACAAACAATTTAAAACAAGATATGTACTTTTATATGTAAACGTACAATTTTATTTATTATCCACGCTGATGCCTGTTGCATGACTCATGATTGGACAAAGTTTGAAAACAAGAGTTGTTCCTTTGATATATAAACCTCTATTATGTTAATTTCGATTAATTTCCCTGAAGAAGTTCAGACCAGATTGCCGAACGAAACGTTGGAATTAATCATTTTAATTTCGCTGAGATTTTACAAATATAATTTTATAGAATTTGTATGAGTTCCACTTATAGGATCTACTAATTCAGAAGTATGATTGACTTTATGATGAATAGTGGTCTAATAATGATAGTTGCGAATATTCCTTCCACTCGAGTGTATGAATGGTAGTGCCTAGGGGGACTAGTCATTTTATTATTGGGTGAAACTTGCAACGAAGATTATGAACACCAACCATGTGTAATGCCGAGCCGCCTTATTAGTTGATTCACGGTCATTCGGCTTTGGTGTCTATTCTTTACTGTCGCCCTTAAAATTTATTGAATATTATCGTGTAAACACACACACACACACACATAAATTAAAAATACATGAGTCCTTTTGATACTACTGAATGTATTCAATGGACAAAATATTGAAATCTTACCCGGACTTGAATAAACCCCGGCGATCATTATCCAGTAGATTATGACTTTGATAACATGACTTGTGATGACCATCTTTATCCTCTGTGAAATGGAAATAAATTACATGCATAAATTGATACAAATAACGTGCAAATGCCAACTTATAACCATATGAGGTTAGCATATTTGTCAGGTGATATTTCTCATATTATAACGAAGAAATACTTTAAATTTTATCGATCCATCTCCCTATATAAATATATATATATATGGTCAATCGAAGGGTTGGCGTTTCGCACATGTATTTCACGATAGACACTTTGATATTTTCAATCATTTTTAAACAAATGACAAGTGGTTGGGCATTTTCAGGTGAATTCTGGTATCTGCCTTTAAATAAAAATGAAGACAGTGGCTTTTAGACTAAAAATTTACCAACTATTCCGGTGAAACTGTATAAGACATAGGTGCTAATGATGTTTACAGTGTTACACATAATTTGAAGTATGGCATAGTGAAATCTACTAATTTACTCAATTTTGCACTTTTCAGAGGTGGAACTAAAATATCAATGAGTATTATAACTGAATTTTCTAAAGTTTTCTTTTAGCACAGATGAGTGACATTCAAACTTATAAACTCATTCAGAGACACGCTTTGTAGGTAGACTAAAGGACTCTGTTAGTTGACCCAGTTGAACAAAATAATATAATTTACAAAATACCTGGCAATGACTGTGAGTGAAGTCAACTAAATATGTCAAACCAGTAGATCATGAGTAGTGAGATTATCAGAATATAAGAATTTAGCTAAGGTTAGAATGATTGATCCCATGAAGATAAGTAATTTAGAAAAAGGCTCAACAATAGCCCTGCATGCAGTAACACACAACCACACAATAGGGTGGGTGAGATAGAGTCAAAATTCTCTAAAGTAATGTAGGTAGGTGGAGAGACAGATTGACTATTGAATCCTGCCTGGTGCATCAAGTCTACACCCAACACATGCAACAGAAATGACTCACCGTAAACACCAGAGATATGGAAGATATTATTACCACTCAAATCAGACGAGAATAATAAATAATCTTATAATTCTATTTCACTTCACGTACATCACAACATTCTAACAAGTTACTTATTTTTACTGTAAAAAGCCTCTTATTTCCCATCTGATTGTATTTGATTGATAACACTCATATTATTATTTCTGAATGTACTTAATCTTATATTGGTTTTTTATTCAAATGTCTAATCATTTTTACTCATGTATATAAATGAAGTAAAAAGTTGTGTGAGTGAGATGATATGATTATGAGCGGCAATAATTTATGCTCGAAACGTCATCATCAGTAAATACTACTGTATAACACTGTGTGATTTTGTCAAAATAAAATCTTATCTATAATGGAGTTTCCAAAGTTATCTTTGAGCACCGATGTTTCCCTTCCATCTTTTGTGTAAAGTAGTATGATGTAGTGAATGATATTGAGGTAAGGGCTTGAGTGCTAGATATGGAGGGTAAGGCAGTCGATAAGGTTATGAAACTGCATAAACTAAGATAGTTAAGACACGTGTTGAGCATGCCAACCCAACTGCTTTCCTTGAATAGCAGAGTTAGCTAACATAGTAAAAGAGTTATAAGTGGTCGAATCAAAAAATGGCTTCAATCCTTCAAGTTTTTGACAATTTGTCTGAGTCACATAGAGTGGTGCAGGCTATATGACTAGGGTCCTTGACACTATCTCTCATATCACTCGAAATCGTTTCCAATGTCAAAGATGCATTCATCCATTTCAATCCTTAAAATCTGTCTTGTCTTCATGTAACTATTCTTTCTCTTTTATATTTGACCTCATTATACCTCTTCTGAATCGCTTTATCCTCTCTTCTGTCCACCTTTATGAGATATATAATGTGGCGACGTCTTCGTGCAACGTTCTATGTCGCAAACCAGAAATAAACTAAACATTAGTGCATCAGTTTCATTAAAAAATTGAAGCCAGAGTGAAATATGCTTCTGGTAAAGCCTAGAAGTAATCAAAGTCTACTCAAAATTAATTGAAGGGTGCTTTTAAAAGACTGAGGTTACAGAATATATTCTGTTATATGTCATCATCAAATGGCCTGGTGGATAAAGGCAGAGTGGTAGCCAGCGACGCGAGAAGTCTGACTTCATCTCCCAGACAACAAACTCAAAACTCTTGTCTAGTTTACTAGCCGGTAGGAAGCCCAGGAGAAAAAAGAAACTTCGGGCCCTAGTTAGCATCCCCACACCACAAACTATAACATCAAGACCTGAAGTCCTATGTTTTACTCAGAACAAGAGGAATGAATAAAACAGATCATACAAAAGTCGTATGAATCAACAGTTGTGTTTCTAACAGTTCAAGATTTTGAAAACTATGCGTTCCAGGGGATTATGTGTAACCTGAGATAAAGACGACAAACTTTTCAAGCTTTTTGACCACTTTCTCTTTAACTGAGAATACTATTTTCTAAGGCCTGCTGAAATGAAGAATGATGTTTATATTACATGGACGAATCAATCTGCGCTTCACTGAACTTCGGAGTAAAAAGACGATATTTGCTCAGTGTCTCCTGTGACAGTATACTAAACCGTGTTTAAACTAAAATTCAAATCTGTATATGTGTTGTCATGGCTGGACATCACTAGTGATCACTTCCTTCCAGGTTAGCTTTTAATTTCAATTCGCTGATTGAAGTTGCAGCCTTTAAAAATTATTCATCAGAGTTCCAATGTTCACAGTGAAGTTCTTCAGTACTCAAGATGCAGTTAGATATACACGTAAGTTGAGACTAAGATGACAACACTATTTCATTTCATATTAGTTTGTTTATTAGAAACAGTATTATTTACTGGATGACAAGGTTTCTAACAAAATCTAGTATTGTTCATAATTATTTCATCACCTATAATCACACAGCTTTGGAACTTTCCATTATGGGTAAAATTTATTTCGATAAAGTCTCACAGTATTATATAGTTATATTTAATAATGACTTCATCAGTAGAATTTTCCAGATATCTGGGCGGACAGGTGTTGAATCCCTCCTACTACACATATTCCTCTGAGTTGATTCGATAAATAAAGCTTCGGTTATCAATCTCTCCCTCCACCCTGCTGTTACATTTTAGGACCATCATCTTATCCCATCTTAATTTATGATTGTGTATAATTGCATGTAGTGAATGCTATAGCTGAACTATTCTCTAGATTTATTATCTTCTTTTGTGCTCCGCTAGTCTGAGTGCACCTGCATAAAATCCTAGCAAACTCCAGATTACTTGACCCGAATAAGATAAGGATTCTAGAGAACAGTTCAACTATAACTACGACAAATAGGAGAGAACAAGGGAAACTATAAAACTTAAGTTTCGAAGTCATCTGATTATAATTGATGATATAATTATGAACCGCAAATTTGGTTCGAAACGTCATCCAGTAAATAATACTGTTTCACGCTATGTGCGATAAATCTAATATACAAAGTAATATGGAATTACTTACTACCACAGTGCCCAAGTTTTATACATATATTACTATTTCATTTATTAATCACCTCTAGCAATAAATTTTCAGGACTTCTTGATGACTTTTCACCTCTCACAAGAAAGGTCAAACTTCAAGTGATGCCTAAAATAATGTTGAGCGTCCTCACAAGGGTAACCCCAAATGATGAAGAGACAAAACTGAGAAACAACAAATATTCTGGAATTCGAAGGTTTAACTGCTGAAGCTATTCTTTTGTCAGTATTCTTCAGGTTTTATTTCAGAAGTTTTGTCTTCGGTTGTACTTGTGAAGTAATCTTATTCAGTATTATCATATTTCCACCAAGTACCATGGAAAAATTATGCTTCAAACGGACATTTTGATTACTAAATTTTCATATAGTTGGTTTTAGTCAGCAAGTGTGGCTTACAGCTGCAATCAATGTAGAGAACAAGATTCAGATTTTCAATACCGATGTCAAATCAGTCACTAATTTTATACGGTTGAGAGAATTGACGCGACATCAAAAGCACTTCCAACAGAATTCATGATTTCATCAGCGGCTACCTCCACTCGTTACTGAAAGGATTAGCGACAACAAGATCTGTGGACGAACCAACCAAGAACCTTTCGTCCACCAATTTTCTTGAAGAATATAAAGATGAACCGGACACACGTTGAGGAGACAGCTGAGTGAAATCATGCCCCAGGCCCTCCAGTGGAACCAGAAAATGTGACAGACGAGTTAGGTGTCCGAGAGTGACGTGGGAAAGATCCTTTGAATAGGAAATCAGTGCTTATAGTCAATTGTGAAGCCATCTAAAAATGACTGACGCCCTCTGTTCCAGAAGAAATAATAATATTAGTATTAATACGGCTGAAGATTCACAAAGTGGAAACAAAGACTACTAAATAAAGTAGGAATGCTACAGCACTGAACCTCACGTTGTGGGAGATAACGGTAAACACATATATCACTCTTAAAATTCTCCTGATTCAACCAGCTGATAGAAATGCATGTCTTCTAAGAGAGATTTCACATACACAAAGGTGAAGCATGTATTCTCTGATGTTTAATGACAGCATTTTCAGTGACGCGTCGTATTTTATGCAGCCAAGTATGGCATAAAGTAACAGTACTTTCGATGTTGAAAGTTATTAACTGCAAAACCAATGACTGCCACTTCCTTTATTCTCTCTAAATGTATTGAACATATCCAGACTATAAATGAAAGACTGTCGCTAGAATCCCACAGTGTAAGTAGTTTCACGCCTACTAAGATTTCATAGTTCCAACTTTCATTCTATGCATGATTATCGACCCAGTCTAGTAGAAAGTTATGAGCTTGGAAAACAGAACATTGTTTAACTCTTAGTATCCCTTTGTTTCACTAGCTAACATGTATTACAAATTGTTTATTACAGAAATACGTGAATATACTAATTAATTATGGCACACTCTAAAAACAAAAGTGAACGTGCCTTGATGAGACAAAAGAAACTACTCTATAGCTAAAATATTTTGCCTCAAAAATGCATGAAAAACTATATTAATACATCATAGGGCATGACATCTGCCTGGTACAT